AAGAAAACGTGTCTGCAAGGATTACGGTGATGGTTTTAAAAATGTACTCTAAAACTATAGAGGTTAGCTGGTGGATCCAAAAGACCAAAACAAAGGATAATTTTGTACCAAATCGACAAACTTTCCGGGGAGCAGCAAACAGAGAAGTCACTCTTTTGTGCATGAACGCAGTGGATATATAAGGTGAAAATTTCGAGTAATACTTTCAACAATGTCCAGTTGGTAATTTCAACCAATCCGAACTTTCTTCTTACAGTTTTCAATACAAGTCTTTTGATGGTGATGTTTTGAAATATTCTAATACGGTATGAATTCATTGAAGTCGACCAAGTTAATTTAGAGAGACCCACTTGGGCTAGTTGTTTATCCTTGAATTAATACGCCAGCCGCATCGTGATGCTTGGCTTTTGAGGAGCTACGAATGGTCTTATCGCCAATGGTTTCTTGAGTTGTTTCTTTCAAACTCCTTGTAGGATCCGGGAGGCCTAGTACTTTGCAGACCGATTGGAGCTATCAGACCATACGCAATAGGTATACAGTAAGTACCAGGCAGTATGAACAGAAGGAGTATGGCAATCGATGCTGTGTTGACAACTGGTTCTATGAACATATGGGTCAGCAAACATTATGAACCACGTAGAACGTACGGTCAACAACAGCGCAGTCAACAGGAGCATAAAAGAGGCATTAAGTCAGCAAGGCTTTCCGGAAGCCATAGAAAGCACCGAATGCCGTACAACCATATAGATATTGGCAGCCAGATAATGCAAGTATTCAGTATCAGAAATAACGGGGGAAAAGATAACCACTGTGTTCGGGAGTAGTTCCAAGTCAGAATGAAATGCAAACTACCTCGAAACCGGGTGTCTGGTGAGTTAAATTAAAAGTACCTGCAGTCTTTAGCTGACAGCTAGAAAAAGTAGCGCTTGTTACAGATCAGAATTGAAATGCACGATTAGGCTGGTTTAAAGCAATATCCCAATAAACGCTATCACGTAAAATGTGACTCAGAGGTAATGCAAAAAATGGCCCCCGGGGAAGCCGACCTGACGCAGTGAATAGTGCGCCTGTCTGCATCCGAGAGGTCGGTGTTCAGTTCCCTGGCGCCCCATATTTCCGTCAAAAACAAGCACGAAATTGCAAGTGAAGACGAACAGGCGATGAAGTCTAGAACCTGAGTAGACCTAGGGGGAACGGAAAATCAGGGAGCGAACGGAAGGGAAGCCGAATGGAGCTATAATAACGTGCTACTCATAAGTAGTCAAAACAAATGAGGAAAATAGCTGTCAAAAGCAGTCGATTCGCGGGATGAATAGACACTCGTTGTGTGTGGAAAATCCATGTAGAGATCTGTACACCAATTTAGAATCCTCGGGCGTTGACCTGCCAGAAGGGAGAAACAAGGTTTCAGCCATTTATAAGCTGAAAACAAGTTCAAAACCGCAACGTGTGCTGTTGTTCTGAAGAGACGTCGATGAACCGTTTCTAAACTTGTGGGCTGCTGGGTCGTCTTTCAACCAATATCGGTCTCCAGTTAATGCTTTAGGTGAACTGTATATAGGATCTCTTATAAAATCCACTTCTTTGACATAATCTTTGATCAGCCTTCAGTCTGTGGGCATTAAGTGACATCGCTTTTAAAATCTGTCGGACAAAAGCTACTCGACATTCGGACAGAGACAAGAGGGTTGGGTACTTCACAGGGCTTCGTGATGTTAACCTAATGTCACTTTGTCAGCAATGTCAACACGTAAATCTATTGGTAACCTCAGTCAGTCTGATATCTTCAGGAAACGGATTTATATGTCCTGTACAACGCAACTCGTTATTTTCCATGCCCATATATACTCACGTGGAGGTCCACCTACAGAAGAATTCATGCGGCCTTTCGGGAGATTTGGTCTTCAAAAAACGGGCTGGGAATAGCTAGTGTTTTGATGACCCATGGTTAACATGCGCATGAATTTTCACGCATATCTTGATTCAGTCCTGATTTCCATCTGCGTACATATAATACGCGGACTGTTATTTTTCAGTCAGCAACTGAACCACCGTGCCTGCCCGATAAATCATTGTTTCTTTACGTGATGGGATCAAACCCTTCCATATATCCAGAAAACCGTACCTTCATCCCAAAGTTCTTTGACGCTGTGGTCTGTCCATAATAAAGTGGCTGTCTCATGTTGATTTGCAATCATGTACATCTACTGGAGAGAGAGAGAGAGAGCAAATAACTTCAAAAGCGTCAGACTTCTGACAGACGTAATACTATGTTGAGTTACAACCATCATTCTCTAGGTGAAGACCAAAAGTGCTTTGTGGCACCCCTACAATGCGTCCATTTGAACTTTCACATATCCCGTCATACAAGCAAATTCTTTGCAGTATCACTACCAATAGCATTGATAGCTTTGTTAATCAGGCTTCAGGACAATAATGCCAAGTCGACATCTTCGCATACTCAGAGCCTTCACTTAGTGAGATGAACTTCGGGGAGGAGGCTGATCAGGACCCAAGAATTTCCGCTTGAAAGATTTCTAGCTCTTCGCAAGCAAGTACGTAGTTGCTTGGTTACGAGTCTTAGGACCCAAATGGCTAAGGCCGTGTCTCCTTTTAGCTACCTGAAAGACCTCTGTAACTCTGGAATGGTACGCGCTCCTCGGCAGCATGTATCCCACTAGTACCTCGCGGTAATAGCAGATGTTTAGATCTTTTAGGGCTGAATCGACCTGATTTATGTGGGTTCATACTGACGGTAGGGTGAAACGTTCCGTAGCAGATGGCAGGATATCGCCTATGGTAATGCGTGAAGGGTGAAACGTTCCGTAGCAGATGGCAGGATATCGCCTACATACAGCATGTTTGGCTGGATGCCAGAGTAGAGAACCACCTACTGGGAAAATAAACCTTTCTTTTGATAGTAAATTGTCCATCTACTATCTACACACTATGCTTCCATTGCATCGCTTGACAAAGCACACTGTTTACACTATGTTTTAGGTGGAGGAGAAAGTTCACTTATCAATTCTGCATGCGGCAGGTTCTGCAAACTGTCCCATTCTGCTGACTTCGCCAACTGGATTAAATTCGGTTGAAGAGACTGCCAAGTCACGCCGAAGAGTACCTCCTGTACATGCTTTTATCAGTATAGCACCAAGCAGCTTACTTCCATCAACCACAAATGGAATGGTAAGTGAAGTTTTGTACTTTGGCAAGCAAGTGTTCCTTGTGCTTGCAGATTAAGAAGACGACTGAAAGGTGTTCTACCATATGAAGCGCATAGGCGAATTTTGGATTAAAGAAAGCATTGGTTGCTGAGTTGCGCATTATATTACTCATCCTACCTTGTCCAAAATTTAGTCTGCACAACTGAGTTATTTGTGGATTCACTGGCGAAACTGTCATTGAAAGAAAAGTGAAAGCTGTGCTACTTGTCACCAGAATAGTATTTTCAAGAGTCACATAGGAGCACCATCAAACAGCGACCTGGAGAAGTAGGCAGCTGCGGGTTCCATGATCAAGGCAGTAATGAAGTATCACTCGAGCTTTTTTAATCGGCCAGATCTCTGTTGGTTTGATAGCATCTGGTTTGTCTTTAGCAGATGACGCTATAAAAGAAGTCAAAACAAACATCCTTTGAAGGTTATCAGGAACTGTTTCCACCCATAGACCCGAAACACTATTCTCTGTTGGTTGATATAGGTAGTAAACATCCCAGACCATTCTTCATCGTAAGTGATGACATCTCTCTTGAATTTATCAGGATCGCCTGTATAGTCCATGTCTCCGAGATACAGTGGATTTGTATTACACTTGGAAAAAAAACACCACATGCTTGATTCTACTCCCCGAACTCATTTGCGTTGTGTCAGGCAGCGCATTAAGATAGAACCAACTTTGCAATGAACAAATAGGCGTCCCAAGCCGAATGAAGCATTGGTAGCACTCCTCACTGAGTTCACCACCTGAGCCTATGCGAGACAGGAGTAGTCCAGATGTCGGGATTAGGGTTCGAACCAAGGAACTTCCGGTTAGCAAGTTCGTCCCCTAAACATTCAGTTACCTCTGCCGCCTTCTGTTTAGTAAGGAGAAGAAACTTCATTGGATGAATGGCCTATAGTTGATGAAGCAGTGAAGAGTTAGGAAGAGGATTGGACATCAGCCCAGGAACCGTTCAGCTTTCCCCTCCGCAGTGTAATCCTGAGTCTCTTCAGACACTGGGTGAAGTGTTGTTTCGAATTCGACGCTTTTCGCATTCATTTTGCTTACTTTGATGTCTCCGATTTGCGTAGGTTCCAGACGTCTGGCGGCCATAATGTGCAACCTTAATTACTACTTACTCATGACTGCTCTATGTGTGCCAATTGTTCACTCAGTCGATCATCCCATCTGTCTTCGTGAATTAGGTTACGGTCTCGCTGACATGACCTTGTCTAAATTGCCACAACCAACTTTAGGTCCGAAAATCTAGGCAGGTTTATTTGGGACGTTCAAGTGAGCAATTTCGTGTCCCTTCGAAATCAGAACCTTTTCACAGATGGGAAGGGTGATGTTTTGTGTATCTTTATATCGGCTACAATAAGACCTGAAATTTGTCCGGACAGGTTGAGTCGGTGACCTTCACGGCCTACAACAACACACTCACCACTTTCACAGGACTGTTCGCTGTGTTGAGCATGGCGACTGTTTTGCAGGTACTGTGTTCAGATCAGAGTAATACTCGTGCACAATTCACCACTGTTCAACTGTACGCTACCCTTTAGGCGTTCGACAGTGTTGATTTTATGTACACACTGATTCTACGAGCTTGGGAGTGACCTACGATTGAGACTGATCGTTTGGACGATCCATCTTATTGATTGGGCGCCTGGTTTGTATCGGGGTCGAAATGACATTTGAGCTCGTGTCTGGCTCTTACCAAGTGGCCTTTGCTGCGCTGTTTTCACGGCTGATCCAACCAGCTGATCCACTTGTCTGGTCGGTCGGTTCCGTTTGAATGTCCCGATTGAGTTAGTGATCTTTTGTTCGAATGGGTGGGCAGATTATGTGCAGCTCCTAATGACGGTTGACTGGATTTGTCCCGGGATACAATGATTCACGATATGTCTTTACTTGCTTCGGGCCTCCGCAGGATCTTTGCTTTTCTAACCAGAACAATAATTTCATTCTAGATTCATTTGATGAATGCTGGAGAATAAAAACAGTGGAGCGTTGACTTTGTTTTGTGTACACTTGAGAACACCAACAACTTTCTGCTGTAAACTCAGACTACAGATGAATTTCAGTGCACAACACATGTTTATTATTATACGTTTTCTATAATTTTCCTAGCCATTCTTCCGCAAAATTGTGTGCTTAAAGATTTTAAAAAACTTTGATGAACATAACGCTTGTCGTCACCAACGATCGTCACGTCATCACACGCGGGATCTTACACTCGCCCGTATATCGGAAGATTTTAATTAATATCCCTTTGAGATTTGAGAACAGTACTTTTCCGATGATCATCGTGTTTTGCATTTCAGCAACGTTCAAGTCAATTCCTCGGCCCACTAGCAACCGGAGATATCGCAGCCATATCAAGCGACCAGGCTGGCACGAACCATCCAAAGGGGTCGGCGCGCCTAGGTGCAATCGGTCAACGCCTTGTTGCTGTCTGGGAGGCTAGCGTGGTAAGGACATCTTGACCCAGAATGCAATTTCCCCAAGCATACATTTGCATACTGAGTAATTAGGCGAAGCACTGATGCCTCATTGTTTGCTTTGTGCCAACAGGTGACGTCGTCATCACAACGTACTGGTAAATAAACATAAACCTTCACGAGGAAATGTCACAACAACGTTCTGCTACCTCTTGTCCATTGCAATCTTGAGTCTCACACGAACTAATGATGGCCAAAGCCTCAAGAATATAAAGTACCCACCTTAATTGCTCGCCGCTAAGGCTTGCCTCGACTGATACTGGAACCCAGTGATGTCGAAAGAGCATGAATTTGAGAGATGGGTACAAGCGAGTGTTTTGTAGCGGTCACTGTGTGTGTTTTGAGGGCTTTTCGATGTGCTGTACCACCAATCGACCGATCTTTTGCCGTTGATTAGAGTTTCTTCAGCCCTCATATTATGTGGGGCGGCGAGATGGCTCAGTAGTTAGAGAGCGAACTTACTGACCGAAGGTCCTTGGTTCGAATCCGACCTCTGTCTCTTGACTCTCCCTGTCTAGGCTTGAGCAGCTGGGCAGTATCCTTCCTTCCGTGGCATGGCAGCTAACTACGGAAAGGGTGTTGCAGCTGAACGATTTTTCCCGTAGTACGGCCTTTTCAGTCTGATCGGTACTTTTACGTGAGCAGTCTAATGAGTCTTGCTCTTTAAATTCGTTGTAAGTTTGTCCATACAACTGAATATACCGACAGGCTGCTTCTGCTGATCGGCTATACAAATAAACAAATCATTCAGACTTGTGATGTTTATTAGTCGGTTTGCTTTAGCTTGCTGAGTGCGCATGGCGATTTTACCCCCGACTCACAATCCAGTAGCAAATACATTCTTTTGCTATGTAGTAAAACAGCTATAGAGAGTGTGGTAGGAAATAGCCTTCGATATCTTCAGCGCCCAAAGACCAACGACATTTCGATAACTCAACATTTGTACAGGAACGCGTGGTCTGGGAGCAAAAAGCGAAAACGGAGAATATTGTGAACTTTCCAAATTGGTTAGAATAGAGGCCCGTAGAATCGTTGACCGAACGGTGATAATTCTCAGTTATTGAAACACGTAAAGTGCCAAGAAAAGTGGGTGAGTGGGTGAAAGTGTAGTTTATATGGTTTCTCTCCAGTTCAAACAGCACAAAAATTGTTCAGCTGCAACACCCTTCCGGTGCCTAGCTGCCATGATACGCGAAGGAAGGACGAGGGCTGGGATACTGTCAGGTTGCCCAAGCCTAGACAGGGGAAGTCAAGAGGCAGAGGTTGCGTTCGAACCACGGACCTTTCGGTCAGTAAATTCGCGCTCTTACCACTTGAGCCATCTTAAATAGCATAGTATTCAAATAAATACAACTGGCTTACCATACAGAGCTTATACAGAGAACTTCATATTTTCATGCTGTAGTGATTTTATTGTTTGTTAAAAGGCCCAAGATCTCCTAAACACAAAATATTGCTCGCATTTTGTCGTGTGCATAATTTTTGCACTTTTATCCATCCGGTTTTAACCAGTATACAACTTTTGTGGATTGAATTGCGTATAAACGGATGGGTTGCACCCGGGTATCCTCTAATTAACAGAAGCATGCCAAGCGGCCAAATAGCTCTGAAAAAAACAAGTACGTAGTTCACTTCCCACCGTCCGTTTCTCGGTAGCTCCTCGCAGACAGGAACCTCATAAAACATGAGCCCAGTAGTTGCTCAAAAAGGGTTTGAATTCCTCACGAAAAAGTATGGATCGGTAAGTCCCGCACAAGAAGTTGTTGCTTCAAAACACAACCATTTCAAATCATCTTGGGTTGCTTGATGGGTCGCATTCCTTTGGAAACCGATCCAGTTCTGAAGGAGTGAACCGTCTGAACGCTTGTGGTTTGGTCTAGACAGAAATCAACCAGTAAAAACATGCATGTCCATGACTTCGTGAAATTTTCAATAGCATAGATGAACATAGTATGACATCGCCACAGTTTACATCTCACCAAGGCTTCTACGCTCATGTGCATGGAAGCTTGACATGAAGAAGGATTCAACAATTTAGTTTTCAATTTTGTTCAGCCCACCGGTTGGTTGGATGCCTCCGGTTTCGTCAGGGTCGTGTCAACCAACGCAGCACGCTACACCGGACAATATCCAAACAAGGGGAGGATAAGTCCTGGTTCGGACGCTGATCTTGTACTGTGGCCAAGCGATAGCCTTACACAGCCGGGAACAGGAAGACCCGCTATGGTACTTCTTCGTGGAATGATCATGGCCCGTGAGGGGAAGCTGGCTGATAGATCGATGAACGTTGGACCTTACATCACCATAGATGGTATCCCTCAGGATGTGACGGATCCAGAACCACTCGGAGAAGTCCTTTCATGCGAACCATTCCCAATGACCGTTTATAGTACGGTTCTCGCAACAGACCGAGTAAGTTGCCTCTCAAATGGGAAAATACAACCAAAGTGGTTCGGTCTAAATGTGTTATTCCTTTCGAATTAGACAGTATTACATATGCCAATATTGGTGTCGTTTCAGAGGCAAGCTTTTACTGCATAGTTCGGAATGTCTTTCGGAACGAGTATATTTACTCTGCTAAACGCTGTTCGCTAACAAAGTTACGGTATTTGCAGTTAACACATTTTTATCTTTTAACTTTGGGTGAATGAGAAACTATTCCCAGTACTTATGATTTGGATGGGAGTTATACTACTTTTGATTGGCCACTTCAGTCGAGTACCCGTAAATTTCTTTACACAGTATGGTACATGTCCGATTTTTTTCGCCTTAAGTAACTGGCCCAAAGTAGTCTCTTCTCGAATTTCGTAGGCGAATGTTCAATGGCAAACCACGAGTTATCTCCAACTCACTCCACTTGTAGTTAGAAAATTTAGATAATGTGAGGCACGAGGCCCACACACTATATGCATGTATCACTTTACCTAGAAGGAAGACGAAAAAGAACTGCGTCGGGAGATGAAACCGACAACATTAGGACCTGTCTACTCAAACTTTTTCGGTTTCAGGAGGCATCCCTGGATAATGATGCTTGACAGAGATTACTTGCATACCAGAAATTTCCACCATTCTGCTGCATCTTAGCGGTTGTAAAACGGTTTCCTAGTTCCTGAAGCGAAAGGTTTGTACGTTTTCAAGATATCGTAACCTATTTAGAGGGACTGTTGCTTTCAGTCGGTTGGAAACTGCCTGGTTAGAGTCACCGTTTCAGAGAAGCCTGGAAAGTAGTCCTTGAAGCCCTGTAAGGACTCCACCAATGGTCTTCCAAAATTTTCCGAAACGAGAACAATTACTTATCATCATAAATCACTGCCTCACCTGTCGAGGAGCTGTTTATCTGCTAATCACCTTACCCTTACATGCCAGTTACGGAGACGATACCAAGCTTCAATGGATAATGATACGTGGTCAATGGGTGCATTGCAAAACGAGGTCAATACACCTGTTAAATCGACTCTATCCACTGAGCCAAGCGGAACAAAGTCATCCACGCAACCAACTCCAAGTCCGACATTGGTCACAAACTTGCAGCAGACTCCAGAGAACTTGAGCGGTGTACGAATGGTACATGGCCATCGAGATTTGCACGCCTCCGGATTCTCCCTCAGTGGTAAGTAATCATAATCTTTGGAAATTACCATGAGGACCGTAAACACAGCTTACCAGACTGGATACAAGACCACCTTTCAGAGGATGGTCGCAACACTGCCCTCCACTTAGACTTCGAAACTGTATCTTCAAGCCTACCCATTGGTTCCGTAAACGTGTCATCAGTTAGTGAGACCTATCTACATTCCTAACAGATGCTAGGTCACTAGAGGCCACAGACAAGCCAATTTTGAGTTTCGCTCACACAAGAACTGAGAAAGCTTGTGGCAAGTAGTGGCAACGCGTTTTACTGTCAACTCAGCATAATAGGTGACTCATGCGTTCGTTGAACCTCCTTGAAGACCACTTCACGAAGCTGTGAGTGACGAACCGATAGTGTCACTAAACTGCAACTTGGTAACCTGTCTAACATCTGCGTCTAGTTTTGCCTATCAAATTGAACCTGGGCATAGAACAGATAAAATCACAAGTGGCTTGCTGGTGAACCTTTTGTAAAGCCATATGAGAGCCTTCCAATGAAGTTTGAACTCGATGGAATAAGATCAGAGGACAACAGAGGGAACTGTTTTAGAATCTTCAGCATGCTCAACTGCTACTAGATCACATGGTTTGAAACCAAATCCGCAATAATTGAACAGTGTTAGAGGATAGAAAGTGGCAGAGCCATGCGCTTCGCGCTAACTTGTCAGTAACCGGAAATTTCCATAGTCACTAAAAAGGGTTTAGACTGATCGGACAATTCGGAAGCATAGAAAATGTGTTACTTTCAAAGTAATCCAAGGTCTACATTGAGCTATTTCAGAATAGAAAAAAAATCTCGAACCGATTGACTGCAGCGGTCTCAGCTACTACAAGAACACGTGAGTTCCGATGAACTTTGAGGTCGAACCGAATGAGTGGTAGGACCGAAAATGGTTGCCAGTTGCTACGGAGGTGTCCGACAAAATTACTGGCTAGTAACTTTTCCTCGATGATCGGTGTGTCACCGACACACAGTATATGATGCACCCTCTCTAGCTTAACCACAACGACGCCAGCAACCGGATTTCTAGTCCAAACGATAAAATTAGCGTACAATTCTGCGAAGATCCGGATCCCAAGTCTGAATCTTCGATTAAGGGAGGAAAGCCGGTCGGGGTCAAATCCCACAGTGCGTATCAGTTCACACACAACTACGGTCACGCAAAGAGAACCGATACGTGTCTCAATTACGAAAGGAGGAAGTCACCTTCCATCTGGGTCTAAAACTCACAACAAACTGAAAACCCGAGACTCCTACCAGGTCGTAAGCCACCGCAGTCAGCGAACGGCAGACATCTTTTGATTACATGCTAACGAATTGGTTGGATCCCTGTGTTCACTGTTCTGTTCCGTCGTCAGAACTCATGCATCATTATATTCACTGATACCATCGCGATCAATCGATTCAAAGTAGCTTACTGTAACTCTTAGACTACATAGTACCCAACACGTTTGCTGTTGCCGGTCAGTCTAAACCTTTTTTGTTGGGACTATAGAAATTCCGTTTTCCCTTCACTGACAATCACTTGCTAACGAGCCAATAAACGTTTCTGTCCACCAGTCTCCGTCATCCGAATTTCAGTTAAGCGAATAATATAATTGTAACACACTTCTGGTATGAGTAGTGCATCAAGGTTACTGAAACCTCATCGACAACCTTATGAGTAGTGTATTACGTCTATACAGTGTATTGCGATATCTTGGACATCGTACGAACTGAAGATGAGCCAACTTCGTGCAGCACTCAATTGTTTAATAACACCATAAACGAGAGATTCAGCTGGGTCCAGGGTGCGTCTTCCATCAAAACCAAATTGGCATGCAAATGAGTGTATTCCGGTAAAGAATATGACCGTCTCGAACAACTTGTACTAGCCAGTGATCAACTCGGTCTGCATAGCGGTTGCCAATGGGACCCCATCTGAGCACCGCTGCAAGGTTAATAGTACATAAAGTTCGGCGTGCTAGGATGTGTTATTGGCCAACCATCATGAGAACAAGTGCATGGTTGAAGGTCACGCTGGAAGCCATGTGGTTTGGTTACTAAGGTTTGCTGCGGTTCATACGATCGCGATCAAGGTGAACCACTCGTAGCACCTTAGGATGTATAGATATAGCACACACCCTGTGGGCTGATATTAGGATATAAGTGGCAAAATCAAAACCAACAATTTAGCACAAGGTGGACTTCGGAAGACCTCTGTTGTTAATGCAGAGTAATTTACTACAGAAATGTAAAACAGTCCCTTAGAAGGTCAGACAAGGTCCCATTTAAGGGCTATTCTTTCCTCTTTCACCGGCTGTCCGGGAACATAATAGTGTACGCATTATAATTTAAGAAAACAATAAAAAAACATAGTAAGCTCAGAAAGTGTTATAATAGACCGCCCTATACTCACCACACACAAAGACCACCGCCTTGTGAAGGCTGCTTATTGTCGCGTTCATCACCCCTAGGCATCAGTACTGTTGTAAGAAGTAGGGTTATTCCCCCATAGAGATCGTCACCCTGCTAACGCCACTCAAGCTTTCGTCGACTTACTTATAAGTCCCTATTTTGGCCTCGAACCAAAGTCCAATAAGTTGTCAGTTTTAACTGGACCACTTATCTGTGACAAGCACTGATCATGGTAGGTAATACCTGAATAGATTTCGAACAGGATACACCAGTTTTAACTGAACCACTTGCCTGTGACGAACACTGATCATGGTAGACAATACCTGAATAGATTTCGAACAGGATACGGCAAAGTGGAGAGGAGTGCTTAGGAGCACCAAAATCACCCTGAATTTCCCCAAATTGCCTGGAAAAAGAGGTTACACACAATATATTCTTCGACTCCACAGGAGAGCCTCATTGTTCAGTCCGCCCTAACGTGCTGAGAAGCGAATGGGCGAGAAATGCATCGGTTTGGTAGATTTGTCTGTTCTACGGAAAACAGTGAAGTAAGAACAACAAGCACACCCAAATGTGACAGAATTCCCGCATCACCCATATGCACCTTTTCTGAGGACTGTTGTTTGTCGACATTTTATTATCCATGGAAAACAATACACTCGAAGTGATAAGGTCCAATGATTATCCTAGTTTGGCCAGTGCAGCAGTTATGCGCTACTTTTTGGTATTCGAATACCCCAGTAACAAGCATGTATGTTTTGCCAGTGGGTCGAACAGTAAATGTTCGAACACCGCGATCAAACCATCGGACAGATGCATTCTGTTTATCCCATTAAATTCTTACTCTGAATCTGATAAAGTCGATTTCCGATTTTCTGGTGACAAGCTACTTCGCCAGCTACACTACTTGTTGTTTGAAATTCAGGCGAGGAGGTATTTTGTTAGGGAGCAAGTGTCAGGTAACCAAATACACTAAAAGGTCTCTTGAGCTGTCGCCGCAGAGAAAAACCTACGTCTTTATTAGAGAGTTTGCTCGCGGAGGGTTTCCATTAAGAGATGAGGGTAGCTTGCCAAATATAACAAATCACACAAGACGGAGGGGCAGCTGTCATTGTTGAACCTTATTGAAAACATCTGTAGTAAACGATTTTTGAAGTTTTGGGGATATTTATTGAGACAAAAATGTATTCACCTACATTTTAGGAGCTCAAGTGGATGATAACCAGCCGCATCGATCAGGTATCCGGACGAGTCAACCCCCAGGAGGGCAGTCACGAAATCCACTATGGTGAAGGCTCACAGGCTACTCGGTGTTGTCCCCGAAAGTTCCCACGCACCACTACGCATATTATAACTCCAGTTGTGAAGTTCGCATAAATATATAATTATTACGCCTACTTAATAACAAAAAAATCGCATTCTATCAAAAAGTCTTGCAAACATTTAGAAAAATAGTGGCGACGGTCATACGTACGAAGCTCTTCTCGACCTGAGATTAAATGCATCGAAAGCTGTCAGCGAAATGGCTGTGCAAATGCATAGGGAAACCAGGAAGATGTGAAAACGGTCACGTTCACCAGAAAACAGACGTATGAAGGTAAAAAAAACGTGCTGAATGGGCAAAATGCGCGACACCACCGTGTCAGTGAGCAAAACCGGGAGTTGCGGAATGGACTAGAATGGACCAGAAACATAGTTGAGTGTCGTGGAAATGGGTCATAGGCCACCGGTAGATGAATTGTTACGATGAACCAAAGCCAACCCGGTCATAGCGGAATTGATGCCGAGACTGGTGTTTACGACGTGACTGTCAGAGTCTTCTGTGTCTGTGGCACCACCCACGTCATCGTCATCGGCCAGTGCACTTTGATCGCTGAAATCAGTGAGCACTGACCAGTTGCTTGGTGTGTTGTTTTTCAACCTTTGTTGCTCGGCATTCCGAGAAGACAGAATGACAACTCGTGGTTGCTTAGACGGGGAGCATAAGATGTTTTCATCCGGACTTGTCAATCGTACTGGACTCTCCTCTAGCGGNCAGAATGACACTCGTGGTTGCTTAGACGGGGAGCATAAGATGTTTTCATCCGGACTTGTCAATCGTACTGGACTCTCCTCTAGCGGCTCAGGAAATTGTTTCAAGTCGTTGTCTGGTCTCCCACTGAAATTTAGGGACGCCTTACTCGCCAGACGTTGCTCCGAGATGGGCATGAGTACATGAGATGACAGCGAGGGTTCCATCGAATAGCGACCAGAACGACATGGACTAGGGCGATGAGTTTGTTGTAAACCATGCGAATACCTCAGTTGGTGTTGGTCCAATAGCTTTGTCAAACGGCGATGATACTGTTGACTCTGTAGAGGCGCTGAAAATTCCGGTTGGACACGATCAGTGTACGACATTACCGAGGAAGTACTTTGTACATTTGAGGCGACTGATCCAGATGAACCGATTGTGAAAGTGCGATTTGACCTGTTACCCAACTGCATCGTCTGTGGACCGATTGCGGTTTTGGAAGAACGCTAGAAATAGAGGACGCGGTAAGGAAACATTGAACAACGTGACTTATGGGAATCTAGGGAAAACATCTGTCTTGGACGCAATCGGGAAATCAAGAAACTCTGAATCATCAAACAACTGATCAATATTGGAAGCTTGACCTCTGGGATGAAATAATGTTACTGAGTCCAACATTCTCTAACTACCGGTCTGATTCGTTCTAGAAGGCTGTTGATCCATTTAACTGGGACACGGTAAGCGAAAGTGAACATGTCAAGGGTGGACTGGAGGGAGAGAGAGAAGCCGGGGCTGTACATTATTGTGAGACCACACATACAGGAGCAATGTTTACACAGATGGACGGGATTCATTCAGAAGTATTAAAATCTTCCATAATTTGCAGTGTTTTGGTGCTACTTCATCTGCTGTCTTTGCCCTTTTCAAATTTCACTTTCCGATAACTAGGTTCGTCAGGCAGGATAGTATCTATGCCACTATTAGTCAGATCGCCCAAAGGAACAAGCAAAACGAACCAACAGAGTCGTTTGCAAAGGCTCGTCACGCAAACATTTCCGGTTAGCAATCTGATGTCCCCCATGTTACTGCTGGATCGATTTAAATCGGGTCCGTGGAGGTGGCATTCAGGAAAACAGGTGTCAGTCAGGTACCAAAGAAGGCTTACACAGTGCTACGCACTCGAAAAGACAACTTCACGGACCAAATCAACAAAAAAGTGACTGTCACAATGATCGATTGGACTAAATAGGATTGTGCGCGTTGAAAAGCCGTGCATCCGACTCATTCGACTGAAAACATCAACCATTCCTTTCCTGACTGAACGCACTGCTCATAAGGTTTGCGACAACTCTTCAACAGTAAAAAAAGCATAAACGAGAAATTCAGTTGATTCTCCCGTAGAAAGAAAGAAAGAAAGCGTTCAGCTGTAGCACCCTTCCGGTGCCTAGCTGCCATGCCCCCCGAAGGAAGCACGAGGGCTGGGATACTGCCAGGTTGCCCAAGCCTAGACAGGGGAAGCGAGTGGCGGAGGTCGGATTCGAACCACGGACCTTCCGGTCAGTAAATTCGCGCTCTAACCACTTGGGCCATCTCGCCCGTAGACACCAGCTTAAGTGAGTGTAGTCCATCACCTGCACACAGTTTAGTAATCAAGCAGGACATAAGGTTGATGGAAACTCGGGAACTACGAGCCCCAGTGAGGACCACAATGTTCTCGCCTATCTTTCCACTAAGTACGGAAAATGTTAAAGTGCAAGCACGATCAATAAACTGCAAGTAATGTTGCGAATGCCGCATGAAAAAATAAGCCGGTTGTTAGAAAATAGGAGTGTGGTGAACAAGGCTGTTCTACCTGACCTCACCTAGATCTGTACAATTGTCTACATAACCGCTTGATTGTCACTTTGAACAGAACAACCAAACAGATATAAACATAAAAGTGAGCAATTGTGAAGAAATTTTCAGTAAGCTGGTGATAATCGCTTGGCGCCGATTACCGAAACATAATGTTCTGACTATCCGGACTGTTGAACAACACTATGTGGCTTTTGGCCCGAAGACCTTCAACAGATTTTCAAACCTTGTGTACCGACTGGAAGAAAACTGTGACATACTGAAATTATACGAGAAGTGGAAAAAACAGTTAGAGCACAGGTTTCTGCACAACGGGCACAATGAATTGGTTCACATAATGTGTCTCTGTGTGGCCCAGAAAGTATCTGTTCAAAACGTTTCTAGGTAGAACTGTGATTTCAGATAGTTGTCGCACTCAGGAAACTACCAACGGAGGCCGAGCAAAGGCGACCGCTTCCGGGAGAGAGTTTACTATAGAAAAATAGGCTTCGATGAATTAACTGAAAATGGTCCCCGATGGGGATAAACGTGCGGCAAAAAGATGCTTGGGTGAATTAGAATAGCAAAGTGAAAACTGTATTCGAAGGCGATAAACACATTCCGAGTTCGGATAAGATGAATGCAAAAGAACTCACAGCACCCACGCCTGTAACAGTGCGTCGTCTGGCTGTTTTGCGCTGTCTGCCTCCTCGATTATTAGTGCTATCGAGTGTAGAACTTGTCTGAGTACGAACAACAGATCCGGTAAACGTAACGTTTTGTTCAGAATGGGTAGCCACTGCCAAACTAGAAACTCTGGTTGATGCTGCCTGGATCACCTGGTGGAGCGCAAAATCACCTTTGGCCGTAGGGTGAGTAACAGCGGAACTCAAGGAAACAGTTGGTTGAGTATGGCGACGCGTGGCACGTGTCTGTTGCCTGGTTACGGGGCGCTGCGGGGGAGTTTTTGGAGGTGGTGGTGTCTCCGAAGTTGAGCACGAAGGTGACGGCGTTTGAGAATCCTCAATGGCATGTTTGACGACCGACATCATCAAATTTTGTTGGTGTTGATCAACCTCGCTAACGGGGGTGGGCTGTTCTGATTGCAAAACTGCTGGCATGCACGAAGACGCGGGTTGATTGCAGGTTATTGTAAATGGTACCAATGTGCTATCACCATGAGCGGTAGTTATCATTCGAGAGTCCAGTCCATTTTGAGCGACCGAAGTACATACAACTGGTCGATGTGTGCTTTTCATGTTGCCGAGCGGAATGGAATTCGGGGCGGATGTACCGGCAACTGTCCGAACTGCAGACGGTTGTACCGAATGCGAAGGCATAGCAGAATGTCGATGCGGACGCAACAATAAATTCGACCCAGTCGCACATCCATCGACCAGAGAAGACAGGCCAACCACACTACGACTATGGAACGGTAGGCCCGGAAACGTGTTGGGGCGAGGATGGAAGTATGGCATTGACAAGGCTTCACATGCTGGGATGCGCTTCTTTGGATTGAACTGGATCATCCTCTGAATTAGACGGATACAGTGGATAAAGGGTCAGAATAACGCGTTGGCATGCACAGCGAGGAAAAATAAAGGAGAGGACTGATGTGTAATAAGAATACAATAGACGGATGATCGTGGCCCACTAAAGCGTCCGCGAAAACACCGTTGTTAGACTGTACTTCCAGTGCAACGAACTGGACCCACAAAAGCTCGACAAAGCATCACCTGATGAAGTGCTGCTAAAAGATTTCGTGCCGAACATGCCAACACATAAACATCAAGGTAACCACATGCGGGTCACTACATGCGCTGCTAACGTAGTAAGCGAAAACACCTCTAAGGAACGCTATACAGACAGACAGGGTATTTGACCCCTCCTAAGGAGGATCCATACTCAAGTGAAGGGAAATAAAATGGGAGGCGTGTGGTGAATTTTATGGAAGGATAAGACGGAGTGAGACCACGAAATGGATCAAAAACTGCACCATGCAAAAAAAACATCAATTTGGACAACATAACGAAGTAAACCAGATAGGTTTACGATAAAGCACAATGTTGTTAATAAAGTCATAGATACTGGAGATCCGGTGTCCGAAATCCGCAACCAATATGTTGCTACGAAACCAGGTAACCGCCAGGTAAGTACCTCCTGTTGTTGTTGATGGCGAGATCTGTCTCAACAAGCCATGCCTACGGAGGACTACCAACTGGAACAGGAGAAATGAGCAGCACAAGTAAGGACATGTTTGTCAGTGCGTCGTCACCTGTAGAACGAGGTCAGCACTTGCTCCATAAGCCGCTTGCGTAGTATCCACTTTTGAAAAGCGTCAGAATATGCAAATCGCCAATTATACGTGACCTTATCCTACTGAGCTAGTAAGTGCAATTCAGAACGGAGATTTTCCATTGCGCATAACCATACAGCCCCTCGGTCAGTCTGTGCATGAAGATCCTGAAACTCCTAAATGAAATTATCGCCAACTCGACTGTCTGTTGTCATTTACAAAACAAATACCTACGGTTTCGAGCACACGCTAGCCAATATCGAAGTTTTTAGTGCACTCCTTGTCTCTGTCATCATGAGGAAATGTTGATATGTTAGATTGTATGTTGATCGGTTTGGCGAACTGTGCGACTTGCTTACACACGTCTCTTCATAAATCAAGGCGGTAGTCGGGAACGAGCACATCGACGGGTATTCTTTGTCTATTTTTGCCTACTCCTATGGAACACATCGGTGATACGAAAGACAATGGCTGCGTGAAGTTGCGGGAAATATACTGGCTTCACTAAGCAGTGTAAGACCGAACTTTCAAAAACGGTCTCCGCTTCGAACACTTTATACTGAATAATCGCCATTCTCTGTACAGCTCCTCACCCGTGGAAAGAGTAAGACGAGCGAAAACGATTCGTTTTATGATGTAAGGTATTTTGTCCTGACAGACGTTTCACCCATTTCTCTCAACCATTCAAATTCGGCTGTCTGTCTGGGTTTGGGCAGAGAAAACCAATTCGAATGACATATGGACTGTTGTTACAACGAGCACAGAGCCAACTGTGCAAGGTCGTTCGCAGGAGAGCTGGTTCAACAGCTGGTACTCAGTACGATGATTCCTAAGCAGGGACTCAATCGGAGAGAAACCATACCCTTGAAAAGTTCACAACAACCTTTCCATTAGGTAGAATTTACGGAATCTCCCTCCTCCAGAATGCCCGGTAATCCTTTTTCTTCGTGGTGAAACATGAGATCGACTGAGAGATTTGTAGTGGGTAATTACTTTGGGCGGCCAAATATAACAACTATTTGATCTATTCTGATCGGTGACATCACCTGTTGTTCGACGAATTCAAACTATTGAGCTGGAGAACACGGTGACAAATTCTAACGAAAGATAAGTCACTACAAATGTGTTGAAATATATGTGAATCGGGTGTCTATTGCTTGTTGACCTGTCATTCAAGCCTGATTATGGCAAATTCCCAAGACTAGTTCAGAATGTTTAAAAATGCTTGCGATCGGGTTTTAAATCAACTAAAGAACAAGTCAAACTTGCTGAATCCCAAACAGATCAAGTACTCGCAGAAAATGCAACAATCCGAAAATCCAGTATTAGTCTGAAATTTGGGAGTACACAACAGCGCAGAATCGACGGAATAGGTACACCACGTACTATATATAATATTACAATTAACTTTACTCAGCCATTTCAGTTCCAACCACAGGCATGCAGGACACAAACGGAAACAACAGAATGCTTTAATATGAAACTCACGGAGCATAATGATATCTAATCAGCTGGCATAGTACAATGAAATGTAAGCGATACGAGTGGAAGACCAGAAAGCAACGAAAACAGGTGAAACATGTGGCAATTTTCAAAGAAAAAGAGAACTCCCGCAGAAATCAAAAAGCGATTCGAGTTGTTATAGTGCTCGGCCTCATCTGTTGACCATGACACGATTGGGCTTTGCCTGGTATAAAATGACTACTATTCAAGCGTAGGTCAATCGAATCATCACGCCATCCGGTAAGAGATGGTGGTCCACAGCCTCGCTGACTAGGACCTTTTTGTATATATATCCCCCCCAAAGACTACACCCAAAATGTTTGTCGAAATAAAATTTCCTTTCTTGAGACAGCTCATGAAAGTGTTTTGGGGGAGCTATCCAAGAGCCCTCTTTCGAAAAACACTCATTGGAGATATACTCCATCAGCATCATCACCATGATCGACAGCATAACATCAGTAATCAACACCGATGCTTTAGTGCTGTACAACAATAATTTTTTTGAAAGCCTTGTTGTGAAGAAAAGAATAAAAGCGGACGGTAAAGGGACTTAGTGCTAAACCACCAAAACCATTGCAAGGTGAATACAACTCATTCAGCTAGGTGGGTAGAAAGTGATAACAAGAACGCCACTGACACCGGCTGGCAGCCATATTTTGCAGCGTCTCCAACCATGCAAAGGGCAGCTCACGCGGACCCGATCCTGAAAGACGAGTAGCACCCAGCCGTTTCGTAATCAACCTCATTTCCACCTAGTTTTAAATCAACTAAAGAACAAGTCAAACTTGCTGAATCCCAAACAGATCAAGTACTCGCAGAAAATGCAACAATCCGAAAATCCAGTATTAGTCTGAAATTTGGGAGTACACAACAGCGCAGAATCGACGGAATAGGTACACCACGTACTATATATAATATTACAATTAACTTTACTCAGCCATTTCAGTTCCAACCACAGGCATGCAGGACACAAACGGAAACAACAGAATGCTTTAATATGAAACTCACGGAGCATAATGATATCTAATCAGCTGGCATAGTACAATGAAATGTAAGCGATACGAGTGGAAGACCAGAAAGCAACGAAAACAGGTGAAACATGTGGCAATTTTCAAAGAAAAAGAGAACTCCCGCAGAAATCAAAAAGCGATTCGAGTTGTTATAGTGCTCGGCCTCATCTGTTGACCATGACACGATTGGGCTTTGCCTGGTATAAAATGACTACTATTCAAGCGTAGGTCAATCGAATCATCACGCCATCCGGTAAGAGATGGTGGTCCACAGCCTCGCTGACTAGGACCTTTTTGTATATATATCCCCCCCAAAGACTACACCCAAAATGTTTGTCGAAATAAAATTTCCTTTCTTGAGACAGCTCATGAAAGTGTTTTGGGGGAGCTATCCAAGAGCCCTCTTTCGAAAAACACTCATTGGAGATATACTCCATCATCATCATCACCATGATCGACAGCATAACATCAGTAATCAACACCGATGCTTTAGTGCTGTACAACAATAATTTTTTTGAAAGCCTTGTTGTGAAGAAAAGAATAAAAGCGGACGGTAAAGGGACTTAGTGCTAAACCACCAAAACCATTGCAAGGTGAATACAACTCATTCAGCTAGGTGGGTAGAAAGTGATAACAAGAACGCCACTGACACCGGCTGGCAGCCATATTTTGCAGCGTCTCCAACCATGCAAAGGGCAGCTCACGCGGACCCGATCCTGAAAGACGAGTAGCACCCAGCCGTTTCGTAATCAACCTCATTTCCACCTAACAGGTCAAAAATTGGCCACCACTCTGCTTGCGCTACTCTGAATTCAGCAGAGAAAAAGTACACTTTCTGGTAAATAATGATTTGGCATGCGCAGTACATGGTCTAACCAACGCACCTTCTGGTGCTGGACACATTCTTCGATTGAAGTCTCCGCTGCACATGTGAACACTCGTTCTCTAATTGACTCGTTGAGGTGCGCCAGTATCAGCTCGCACGAACTATGATTCTGAGACAACGGAAGAACTTCATAGATCTCAGTTCCGCCGCTCGCGTAGACCAAGTCGCACAGCCATACAACAGGACTGTATTTTGATACAAAGTCCTTTGAGATTCAGGGACATCCCACGTTATCCGGACAGGTGACTCGAGTTAGAAAATATGACCCGAGCCTTATAGATTCGTGCATTGACCTTATCTGCCAGAGTACAGTCAGAACTAATAGATATTCCAAGATACGTAGGACGATTCAGAACTTCGAATAGATTACATATTCAGTAACCGAATGTCCAAAAGCATGACTTTCAACTTTGTGGGTGAAAAAACGGGTGCCAAATGACGCGATAACTTTCGTCAGATCATCCAAAAACCCAGCACCTTCTCCTCTTCGAAAACGAAAATGATGTTGTTAACACATTCCAAACCAACAATATTTTCCTCACCGGGGTTTGGAAGACCTTCTAGCGTCAGTATCTCATTCAGCACGAAAGCGAATTGGAATGAACAGAGTGGGGATCTTTGTCAGGTAGCACGTTATGTACGGGAACTTTCGGAAAGCTTTCCGTATGCTACCACATACCGGGAAGCCTGAGAACACAAGGAACTCATTATAGACACAAACTTCCGGGATATCCTTTAATGAGCGATCGTGGTAAGGAGAACACATCGGTCAACTGTGCCTTGAAAGTCCAAGATTACTAAAATCATGGATCGATTATAAGTACGGCGCCGTTCTAG